GTTGGAGGGGGTCATCTGGGAGGTGTTCCTTGCTCTTAAGAAAAGGGTACAAGAAAGGGAGGGCCTCTCTCTCCCCGCCTTCAGACGGTGTTGGGTGAAGTCCCCGTGTCGCCACGACTTTGCCTCATCGATACGCTAAAAACGGCCGAGTAGAAAGAAGGAAGAACCGGGACCCCCGAGCCATCAAATCGTCCAGCCTCGGCACTGCCCTGGTTTGGGACTTCTTGTCTCTCGAGATACGGAGCATCCCTGAGCCACTCAGAGGAGGGGTGGCTGCACCTGGCTGCCCCAAGGTCCAGATGGTTGACACCAGATGAGCCCCCACTGCCCGCCCTCACCATACTCTGTTGACTCCCGCCAGCCCCCCTGACATCCCTCCACTCCGTCCTCTGCCCCCAGGACCGCCTTCGCCCAACCCGGGGCCCCCCCATCTAGCACGTGGGCCGTGGCAACATCCTTCTCGGTGCCTGCCTCCCACCCACCCCTTCCTCGGCCTCCAGGACAAGCTGGACAATCGGGCCAACGTGGGAAAAGTGCTCCACCTCTGAATGAACAAGTGGATTGTGATCCGTTCGTACGTTAGAATACTACACGGCGGTAAGAAAAGAATTAATGCTACACGCGAAAACTTGGGTGAATCTTCCAGACAAGGTTGAGTGAGGCAGCCAGACACAAAAGAAGACCTGCGGTACGATTCCGTTTATGTGAAGTTCAAGGCAGAACTGTCACTATGGTGACGGTCATCAGCACAGTGGGTGCCTCTGGGCCGGGGACGGACATGGGCTAGCAGTGATCACGAGGGAACTTTCTGGGGTGCTGGCAATGTTGGAGATCTTGACCTGGGTAGGGGCCACGTGGGTGTATACACATGTAAAAATGTACCACGCCGTGCACTTGGTGATTTGTGAATTTGTGTGAATCGTGTCCCAAAAAAAACCCCCCAAAGACAAAAAACCTAGGGTTCCAGCAGGTGCCCGGGTGAGCTGCCCTGGGGAAAACCCAGTAACCTGTCACACGGGGGAATTTGGCCAAAACCACGCGATGTGGCCGCTCTTTTATGGAAAAGAGCACAGGCTGAGGTATCATGCCTGCCTGGGTTCAAACCCCACCTGCTGCCTCCAGCTGGCTACGTAAACCTCCCTGAGTCACATCCCTCCCTGGGCCGGAGTCCCCTGAAGGCTAAGTTGGGTTGGACATCCAAGATGGCGTCTTCACTCATATGTCTGCTGCCTCAACTGGGATGGCTGTGACAGCTAAAGGGAGCCCCTGGGCAGCTGTCTCCTCTTCTCCACGTGGCCACTTCACGTGGCCAGCTAGGGCTTGCTCACGGGATGGCAGTCTCAGGGAAGTCTGCAATGTGACTTCTTTCACGGTGGTTGACTTCCCCGAGAGAGAGTTTCAGGAGACCCAGGTACCATCTACAAACTTCTTACGACTGAGGCTCGAAAGCGCTGTGGTGTCGCTTCCATCACATCGGTCAAAAACAGGTCACGGGGCCAGCCCAGATTCAAGAGGAGGGGACCACACCAGGGCATGAATGCTGGGCGCCATCTTTCTTCCCCACTCCTGCCGAGAACTCTGTGGAGTTGTGTCCCTCCGCCCAGCCCTCTGATGCCGGAGTTCCCCGGAGTCTGTCCCCAGCTCTCCTGCCACCTTCCACCTCTTCTCCTTGAATGCTCATCGTTGGCTCTTGGCCGTCTCCAGCCCAGACCTTTCTCAGGAACGCCAGACCTGAGCAGCCTCAGTCTCGAGGCCACCGCCAAGGCCCTGTCTTCCCTCCAATCTGTGGCTCTTCAGTTAGTTACAGGGAGCCACAATCAGCCCAGAGGATGCAGCAAACCCAGGCTGAGAGGTCAGGGGAGGCTTCTTGGAGGAGGCCGTGCTGGTGCTGAGCGGGAACTAGCTAGGCTAGGAGGGTGGAGAGCATATTGCAGGTCGGGTGAACATCGTGTTCAAAGGCACGTAGGAACGTAAAAGCCCATTCAGCTCCAGGGCCCTGCAGCCGCTCTGGTGGGGCAATGTCACCCCACAGTGGCCCCCCCCTCAGGAAGCGCTACCCCTGCAGACCCTCCCCCTCCCCC